GTGGAGTCCTATAGGTAAGAGATGGCCTAGGCTTAAACCAGAGTAATAAAAATAAAGATATAGTGAACTGGGGAGATTCCAGTATTTTTCAGAGGGAAAAATTACCATAGCTGATAATTGATTGAAATAACTCCTGGGATCATGGCTTCAGCTCTGGATGGGGAGGGAATTGTGATTGTGACAGCTCATGTGCAGGCTTCTGACATGAATGTCAAAGTTCTATTTCTCAACCTGTGTTGAGGTGTTCACTGAATAATAATTCATTTGGTTTTCCATATTTGTGTTTATTTATTGTTTTAATTAATATTTTTAAAAGTCAATATAACAATTTTTAGTACCAGGAGAAAAATACTTTCAGAAAATGAATTAGACTAGACAAAGGATTTTCTAGAATAAGATCATACCTGAAGAAGATATTGGAAAGAGAAGAGATTTCATTTCGTAAATAGGGATACCAACATGTAATTTGGCAGGATTTTGTAAAGATTAAAGTGTCCTGTGCAAAGGTGCTCTATAAACTTGTAAACACTATACATTAGTTATTAGTATTAAAGTTTTAGATTGAAGTATTAAATTGATATTTCCATACCTAAACATTTAGGCAAAAGGATGTTCTAAACAATTTTCTTCTGAAAGAATTTATTCCCTTAGGACATATAATCTTTCTTTGATGGTACAAACTCAGGTAAAATACCAATAACTCTTCCTTCATTCCATCCACCTTTATCTTTTTTTTAAATATTAGGAAGACCTGGTGAGGTCAAAAACAACCCAGAAATATAGAAAATAGTTGCTTTGAAGAATTCTATAAAGACTCAATCTCAGCTCTGTGTGTGACTGTGATAAGTTCAAAGTTAGAGAAATTTGAGATAATAAGCAGGTAGCCTTGAAAGCAATTCTTCTGCCTCTGGGAATCCTAATATTTGGGCCCAAAATTTTGCACAGATATCTTGACAAATCATCATCATGATATCCATCCTGCCCATCCTCCTGCATATGTGACATCCCCACTTCTCCCAGATGGCATTAATGTTGTCTCCTCCCATTGTCATTAAAATACGGGTAAGACAGGTACCTGAAGGAAAAGGAAAAAGAAAATACAGATTTGAATCAGGATTTTGGGTTTTGTTTAGAAAAGTCTATATGAAGCAACTGATGTCCTCAGAATAGACTTCCTTGCTGTTACACTGGTATAGGTGAAAAGCGGGCTTCTATCTCTATTCTTTTTCATGCAGCACATACTTTTGTGGTCAATATTTTAATTTCTGAAAATTATCTTGAGGCTAACTTCAGAATTATTGAGTAGCAAAAACATATATTTATATTTTATTCAGATTTATTCAACATAGAGTATGTCTTATATAAGGCAAAATAAGCATATAAATACATTGTTTTTGGGAGGCAGGACCAAGATGGCAGAGTAGTCAGATGCTTCCTGTTTTCCCTCTTACAACAAAGACCCAAAAAACACAAGTGAATCAATTATATATGACAATCTAGGAGCCCTGAACATCAAAGACAAAGTTGAGAGTCAGACTGAGCAGCAGGGGGAGGGAGAGACAGTTCAGAAGCAGTGAGGATTTGCCAGACCTGACCTGGCTGGCACCCTGCAGGCTGGATCAGCTGGTGCATGCAGGCTGAGGTAAGCAGTAGTGCTCAGGATGTGTTTTCCACATTGGAAGAAACTGAGCAGTGGAGAGTCTGCTCAAACCTCTGGAACAAGGGAGCAGCAGTGCTGAATCGAGGAAAGATAAGTACAAGCATCTAACCTACCGCTCGTGGATAAACGAAACCCTTCCCTTCCTTGGGAGGTACCTCTCTCCCATTTACCTGCCCCCTCCCTGCTCCACTCCGGGTCTGGCCTGGCTTCAGTGATTTCCACATCCCCTGGGCTGGAAGTAGGTAGAACCCTTCACATGCCCCAAGATATTCTCCCAGCTTTGGAGGGGGAACAAATTAACAACAGGAAAAAATAACCTACTAGCTCCCCTAAGCCGGGAACTCAAGGCAGGCACAGCCCATTTGCCTAGGCACAGGCATAAGGGGCCCATGGACTTTGAATACCTTTTACCCCTGCCTAGACCTGTGTCGGCCCATTTCAACAGTGGAGGCCCTCATTAGCACAGTATAACAGGGTATATACCTGAAGCCTATTTTCAACTGCAACAGCTAAGGGGGAATGGCAGATCCGTGACATTTGACATTGCCCTGCCCATTAAGCAGGATTCTTACCTACCCACATCAGGGGCCTGAGGACTGGTGGCTCCACCCATGCCACCTAGCCACCTGCAACAGGGGTCCAAGAATAAGTGGTTCCTCCCAGTCTTTACAGCCAACAGCATTGGGTGCCCAAAGGCTGGCTGCAAAACCCACCCACCTACACACTCTAGGGAACAGGGACATGCCTTCTACTCAGGCAGTCAGGGGCAGTCATCAGCCCCCTGCTTGCTCAGCACATGACCCCCTACTACAGCCAGATACCTGTGCCTACTCCAATCACCCCTGCCCATCTAGGACTATAGGTGAGAGCCTGCACCACACACTCAGTGACTGACAACCTGGACACCTGAGCTGAATCCCCACAAGAAAAGTAAACATACTTGTGGGCTCACATGCCTAGTAACAGCTCTAACCACCTAGTGACAGGATGTGAGAGCTTCAAAGATGCCAATAATCAAAGTAGTTCACATGAGCAGCCTATTTGGGCATATCAGAACAAAACAATACAAGAAGCTACGACACAGTAAGCAAACAATAAATAAATAAATATAATAACTTACTGATGGCTCGGAGACAACGGTCAATATCAAATCACATAGAGGCAGACCATAATGGCTTCAGCAAGCGACCAAAGTAAAGAGCCAAGAAACCTCCCAGAGGAAGAGAATTTCTTGGAATTACTGGAGGTGGAATTCAAAAGATTAATATACAGAGCTCTTTAAGATATCAGGAAGGAGATCAGTCAAAACGCAGACCAATCCAAGAACACACAGACAAAGCAACAGAGCAACTTAAGAAGTTTATATAAAAGCATAATGACAAATTTAACTGGCTGCAAGAATCCACAGAGAGACACGAAACGGAAATCCAAAAGATTAACAATAAAATTTCAGAATTAGACAACTCAATAGAAAGTAAGAGGAGCAGAATTGGGGCAATGGAAGGCAGAATTAGTGAGACTGAAGATAAAGCACTTGACACCAACTTATTTGAGGAAAAATCAGAAAAACGAATTTTAAAAAATGAATAAACCCTAAGAATTATGTGGGATTCTATCAAGAGGAATAATCTATGAGTGACTGGAGTACAAGAACATGGGGGATAACAGAAAATACAGAGAGAATTGTTGAAGACTTGTTGGCAGAAAACTTCTCCGATATCATAAAAGATGAGAAGATATCTATCCGAGAAGCTCATCAAACCCCACATAAGGTAGATCCCAAAAGAAAGTCACCAAGACATATTATAATCAAACTTGCCAAAACCAAAGATAAAGAAAGAATTTTAAGAGCAGCTAGGGATAAATGAAAAGTCATCTACAGAGGAGAGTCAATAAGACTAAGCTCGGACTACTCAGCAGAAACCATGCAGGCAAGAAGGCAATGGGATGACATATATAAAGCCTTGAAGGAAAAAAATTGCCAGCCAAGAATTATATATCCAGAAAAACTCTCTCTCAAATATGATGGCAAAATTAGGGCATTTCCAGATAAACAGAAGTTTAGGGAATTTGCAAAAACCAAACCAAAATTACAAGAAGTACTAAAGGGAGTCCTCCAGTTAGAAAATCAATAACATCAGATAACAACCCAAAACTAGAACACAGGACAGAGCAACCAGGTATCAACCCAGATAGGGAAGTCATAAAAATAAATCAAAGCTAAAACACTGAAAATAGGGAAACAGAGATGTCAATATATAAAAGAGGACAACATTAAAACAAAAAAGAGTGATTATGTAATGTAGTCATAGAACTTCCATATGGAGAGGAAGTCAAGGCAAGATAAAGAAATAAAAGATTGGTTTAAACAGAAAAATAGGGGTCAATGTTAAGGTAACCACAAAGGAAACTAACAATCCTACACATCAAAATAAAAAACAAGAAAAACATAGACTCAGCAAATACAAGATCAACAGCAATGAAAAAGCTGAAAAGAAAACACATAAAGAAAAACAACTCAGGACAGAAAATTAAGTGGAAAAACTGTCAACAACACACAAAAAAGACATCAAAATGACAGCACTAAACTCATACCTATCAACAATTACTGTGAGTGTAAATGGACTAAATGCAGCAATAAAGAGACAGAGACTGGCAGAATGGATTAAAAAAACATGGTCCGTCTATATGCTGCCTGCAAGAGACACAGCTTAGACTCAAAGACACAAACAAAATAAAACTCAAAGGATAGAAAAAATATACTAAGAAAATAACAATAAAAAAAGAGGAGGAGTGACAATATTAATCTCTGACAAAATAGATTTTAAAGCAAAATCCACCACAAAGGATAAGGAATGACATTATACAGTGATTAAAAGGTCAATACACCTGGAGGACATAACCATAATAAATATTTACACACCCAACAACAGGGCTCCAAAATACATAAGACAAACTGTAACAGCATTGAAAAGAGAGATAGACAGCTCCACATTAATAGTAGGAGACTTCAACACACCACTTTCAGTGAAGGAGAGAACATCCAGAAAAAAGCTCGATAAAGACATGCAAGATCTAAATGCCACAATCAACCACCTTGACCTCATAGACATATACTGAACACTCTACCCAACAGCAGCCAAGTATACTTTCTTTTCCAAAGCACATGGAACATTCTCCAGAATAGACCACATATTAGGCCACAAAGCAAGCCTTAACAGAATCCAAAACATCAAAATAATACATTGTTTTCAAATATAAGAAGGAAAATGGTGTGAGAAAATAGATGAATCTGATAAGCCTAGAGTAGTTGCAGCAAATGGCACCAATATAAATAGTTCTAAGTAATCATATTGCGCTGATATAAAACATTAGTACTTGCCTCTTCAAGAACTGGAGTAATCATTAAAGACGAGCCCCAAAGGAATGCTCTGTCAATTCCATGAGTCTGAGGATCTGATGTAAATCTAGGTTTTTAGAGGGAAAAACCATCAATTTAATAAAAATAGTATCTTTGTATAAATACCTATTACTCAACTACCAATTTCTACGCACTCTGGTTCATGGTGATTAATACCAATAAGAACAAAAAGACAAAAACAGAAAGGTTTAGGGTATAAGCAGTGCTTTAGGAATAAAAATCTAATCATAATTGAAGCAACTGGGATCAGTTGTCTTCCCTGATCAAAGAATAAACGGGCATTAAATCTAAGGTCAAAATAGAGGAATCAAGTTTCTAAATTGCTTTTTATTGTTGTTGCTCTTTTCCTTTTTGCATCCTCAACAGCTTTCAGGGTCTAACACCAATCCCACCTCCTTTACACAGTTGCCCTATTTCCTTTCATATTAACCTCACCTTTCTTTGAATTTTTGCAGCACTTTGTAGCCTATGCCACGCAATCAGGACACAAATACATAATGTTCTATACTGCACTCTACTTGTTTCAAATCTGTTCCATGTTTGCTATCTTCCCAGTTCCCTGCTGGCAGGGACCATGTTTCATCCTTTTTATATATTCCACACTATTTGGATACCTAGATACAGTCTTTATTTTTTGTTAATTGGTAGAAAGTGTTTTCTTAACTAAATTCTTTAATTTTTTTTTGTAAATTATTTCTAATCACATTCAGAAGGAAAAATAAAACCTACTAATTTGCCTATTTCACCATTCCCAAAATATTTCCCTTCATTAGAGAACCCAGGCCTCCAGGATCCATGTTGTATAAAACTTAATAAAACTTGAATAATTATTAATTGCTATTTACTCATGCATCAGTCCTCGGACCACTGTGCTTCCATTGATATGAGAATGGTAGAAGAGGGTGTATAAGTAAGGCAGCAGTGTGTATCTAATCAATAACGCAGAACGGGAAATTGTAGCAAATTTTTCTCCAAACACCCCAGGATCTTGTTCCTATTAAAGAGAAATATTTCAATATACTTATTACTTGAAGCATGGATTTTTAAAGTGTTAACTTTTTCTCTTTTGGTGGGGGTTAGGGAGAAGCAGATAATTTTTGAATATTATGTCTCCATTGGAAAGCCTTTCACAGTCATAGACTATTGCAGCGAGATAATCATTGGCAGTCTTGGCAAGTAGGAACCACAGAGCTGTTTCTCAATTAAATACATCCTATAACATTTACAAATCATAGTATGCAGTGTGCAATCTGCATGCTCAGCTATCAGTGAAGTTTCACATCATTTCTAGATGAAAGATCATTACTATACCTTCTCCTCAAGAAGAGTGAGGCCTGTCATTTGACTGAGGAATAAAAACTGGCACCCTGGTTGACTCTGCCTTCAGACTGAAGAATCTTACACCAGATCACATCTACCTACCATCAAAACAAAAACTTGGAATCTGAAAGCTTACTGAAGTACTAATTAAGGATAATCAAAATATCATCGGTTTGCCTGCTGTTACCTTGTCTTATAAACGGAGAAGTTGTTCACAAGTTAAAGAGATGCAATTTGCCTTTTTTTTTCTTTTTAGAGATTACAAATAATGCATTTTACAAGAATAATTTTTAGAAAACTTGTTTCTCCAACATTTATTTCTTGTCATTCTCTTGAAGTTCTTGATATCATGTAAATTTTAAACAATCAATACATTTTATAAAAGTATATTGAAGAAAAATATGATTTTTGACTGATATTTTTATGACTATATATATAGTTTTCTAACCCCATTTTCAACTGCAGGTTAATACTGAGTATAGCAGTTATAATTTTAAATTGGCTTTTACTTGCCTTGCTCCCGATTGAGTTATGGTTTCTGGAAAAGGGGTAAAATGCCCCAAGTTGCATCCAGCGCAAGCAAAGTTCATAATTTGTATCTTCATTAAACCCACATATATCAGCTCCAACCTGGGGGAAGATTTTCATCTTGATATATTACCTTAATATATCCCTTATTGATTTTGCTATAAAACACACTGAAGTATTTCAGGTCACACTATTTTTGATAAACATGTTTAGGATCACACGTATGTCATTTTTAAGTTGTGGAATCTGAAAGTGTAAGTATGCTCTTTGAGAAGTGCATTGGAATATAGTAGTGACAAGTCCCTCCTGTCCAGTCTTGATTAAAAGAAAACTGTGGGCTACATTGTGGTATAAGCAAGGAGTTTTTTAGGTAATCTAATGTACCTAAAATACCTCTTTTTCCAAGTGTAGTGCTATAAATTGCTTGTTATGTGATAAACTAGAGAAAGACACAGAACATTCACAATGCAGTGAGCTAAATCAAGAGCCTTGGTGACTGACCACTCAGGCTAGAACAAGGGGCCTCAGAATGACTGCAGCTGACTATGCTCTCCTTTCTATCACAAATTGCTCTTAGGGATTAAATTGTATCCCTCCCGACCCTTACAATACTCATTGGAATTTTAACCCCTCTATGGATGTAATCCTGCTTAGAAATAGGTATTTTTTTTAGTCAGGTTAATTACCATATTTTTTTTTTGCGAATAACATACCCACATAAATAGCATGTTCACACATATAACGCATGGCATAGCACACTTACGGAAATAGCAGGGGGTTGCACAGCTGGTGAAAACAAAACAAAAACAAAATGTATAACGCTCGTATTATTTGTGTAAAAATATGACAGATCATACCCAAGTAGGGCAGGTCCCAAATCTAATTACTTTTGAGTAATAAAAAAGAGCATATTAGACACAGAGGCACACACACACATGCACGCACACACAGCTGCCATGTGAGGATTGTCTACAAGCCAAGGAATCAAGGAATGCCCGGGGTTACTGACATGGCAGGAACTGACATAGCTCAGACCCTGATTTGAACTTTTAGCCTCCAGAACCATGAGAAAATAAATCTGTGTTCTTTAAAGCCACCCACTGGTGGTATGTACTACAGCAGCCCTAGGTAACTAAGACAGAAATACTTTGCTTCCTGACATCGAATGAAGGCCTCTCCCAGATCTCAAATTGTTTTTATTCCAGAGCCTCACTTATTCTCTCAAAAATATAATCTCTAACCCCAAAGCCTGGGTTATTTTCAAAGCTTGTTGATCAAAAAGTCATGAAGTAAAGCATGAAGTCATAAAACATGTCAATTTTTATAAAAATGTTAGTTACCCAAACCATGGAAATGGTAATCTGTATTCTACTAAACTATAAGAGCTTTAATAGAGAAAGAGCAGGTCATGCTCCTTTCTCTCTAAAGCTGCTTGCCTTAATATTCTGTCTCTATCATTTTCTGCTTCAGATACAACTTGAACCTATTTCTCCTTTTCAATATTTCCTTAGTAATTCTTCTTTGAATGTAATTATAATTCATCACTTGAACAACAAATCATTGGTATATGGGGAATCTGCTATAATAAAACTATCTAATTGTTAACACAACAGTAAATTCTTAAACAGCAAAATTTTTCCTTTATCGTTAGAGCTCAGATAAGGAGTATTTCTTTCTCTGTGTTTGGTGTATTTTGCTGGTTTAATTTTACTTCCTCCCTTCATAGGAGATGGAGACACCTCTTGCTTCTATTTCTTCTTCCAAATGTCTGCCTTTTTTCCCCATTATATATAAAACTCATAAAAATGGGTTGTAAAGGAGTTATGGATGGGCTTGGAGTAGAGATGAGTGACAGAGGAAATACACTTCTGCAGTTTTACTATAATCAAGTATTTCTGTGACTTGAACAGGAAAAACATTAATTAAGAAAGATGTGGTTTCCTAAGATCTCTAAAAGTTATCTGCTCCTGTAAAGATTACAGCCTAGAAAACTCTATGAGGTAGTTCTACTCTGTCACATTGGATTGCTATGAGTTGAAAATTGACAGGATGGCACCCAACAACAACAATAGAGGTTAAGGGGGTTTCTACAAGGGCTAAATGAAGTACATTATTTACAGTGAACTGAATGCAACTTCAGTGCATTTTATCTTCATATCTGGATGCACACCCAGATAATATTGACACAGATGCTTTAGTGTCATTGATTGTTTAATGTTAAAACTTACATATGGAATTCCAAAGAGATTAAATTCTAGCATGCCAATGATTGACATGTGCATATCTCTCCAGCGTGAGAAGTTATCACCCAGCCAATGGCCACCGTATTTGCCACTCCCGACAAATGTTGAACGGCTCAAAACAAATGCTCGCTTTCCTGTAGCATTCTGAGAAGCACTGGAGAAAACACAAGAAAAACTTTCTTCAGTATTATTCTGAAAAAATCTTACACTTTTCTTTTTTCTGAAAAAAATCATGATTTTAAAGTATATCATAGTCAGTATGAATAATTTTTCCGGATTTCCCAATACTCATGCAATTCAAATATTTTATCAAAGATGTAAATCTGTATGAATATGAAATGGAGAGAATGAAGCCAGTAAAAAAAGAAATTACCATATATAAAATATTATACACATTTTAAGAAAACATTGAAAAGCCAGTGTTAAGTATCCAAACCAAATTTTCTTATACTGAACTCTTCTTACGAGTTATACTATCTTGCAAAGTTTCTCAACTATGGCTGAACATTAGCAACTATGAGAACTTTAACAAATTAACAACACTGCCAAGACTCCATCCCAGATCAATTAAATCAGAACATCTAGGGATGGGACCCGGGCATCAGCATTTAAAAAAATTTCTGTGTGATCCTAATATGCGATCATGGTGGCTTTTATACTAATGTTGGAAATGTCAGTTAATTTTCTTCAAATAATTGATTATGTTTCCCTACTGAAACCTTGCATGTATAGGAAAACGAATAGTTGCAGAGTTTTTCACAGCATTTTTAATATGATTTTCTGCTTTGATTGTTCTTTTATTTGAATTTAACTTGTATGTTTAACCATTGTTACAATCAAACCTAAAAATCAAGAATAAACTGGAATGGGCATTGCTGTCAAACCAATCTAGTTTGATCTCTATTCAGCCCGTCCATGTAAAAGATATGCAACTCTGAGCAAGTTACTTGACTATTGTAAAATGGGGCTAATAATACTGTGCAGGGTTGTTGTGAAGTTTAAATGGAAAAGAAATACGAAAGCACCTCTCACAAGTGCTCAGTGAAGGCTGATGTCATTTCTCTACATTGTAAACTGCTTTCACCCTAGTTAGAGAACTTGAATCTGAGTTTTAGCCATTATTTGCCCAGAACTCTAAGACCAATCATTTTGACTCTCAAGGGTAAAATAATGATGGGAAAAAAATTGAATTGTCAGATTAAATTGAATGACAGCAGCTCTACTAATAAATTCAATAAACACTCTTATTGCCTTGTCAAGGTGAATCTTGCTAATACTTGCACATAAAGCTGCTTTTATGTCTTCTGGGAAGTAATTTTCATTGCCTGAATTTCATTAAGTTTAGAATTTGGAAGCCATGTTCACTTTATCCCCGAGATATTAAAATCTTTAGAAGTATGTCTATTAACACTGAAGAAGAATACATATCAAAATCTTCTCCTTCTTCTAGTTCTTTCTTTTTTCTTCTTCTCCTGTTCCTCCTCCTCTCTCTTCTCCTTCTTCTTTGAAGAGCCTAAACTCCTTTATAAGGAGCCCTTCATAAGGAGACCTGGTGGTGCAATGGTTAAGTGCTCAGCTGCTAACAGAAAGGTTGGTGGTTTGAACCCACCCAGTGGCTTGAGGGAGAAAGACTTGGTGATCTGCTTCCTTAAAGGTTATAGCCTAGAAAATCCTATGGGGCAGTTCTACTCTGTCATATGGGGTCACTATGTGTCAGAATCGACTTGACTCGACAGCACCCAACAACAGCAAACTCCGTTATTAGTTAGATACAATCAGCAGTTTCTTGGGTAGCATAGGTATGAGTGGTAGATCCTCAAATCTAACGGACTGATTCCTTGCCCTTTTAATAGATACTTGGCATGGCTTATTAAAATAAGAAAAATAAACCTCAAATAGTTGTGAGCCAGTTAACTTCTCTCTGTTTTATAGCAGTGATACATGATTCTAGTTTATCTATGTGTCATTTTCAAGTAACTTCCTTTTTACTGGCACAAGTGTAACTTATTGACAGATATATTTAATTAGCCATATTTTCAAAATATATATTCAGAACTTTGTCTATCAAGTTTACTATATAGTTTATTCATTTTGTTTTTAGTCAAATCAAAACCTAAGAATTGTTCAGTGGTAGGTAGAAAAGAGCCTGATTGAATGACCGTTATGTTCTTCTTCAGCTCTGAAATTTCTGTCATGTTCACCAAACAAATTTTATTAAGTTTCCTGAACTCATAGCTCTAGAAAAATGATTCTACTCTGGGACATTAAATAGGAATATATTTGTATATGACCAAAGTAATCAGTTCTACTTTGATCTTTAGATCTCTCAGCCAGGATTTCTGAGCTCACTTTATAAATCAAACAGGCTTATTCTATCAGCTTGTTGAAATACTCAAACTAAACCCAAGTTGGAATGAAAACCTGTTTTAGCCAGACAAGGATGCAGTAAATGGAAACACAGTGTTATTTATATACCTGAGTCTATATACCTAATTCCACTAATGCATGCAAGGAGAATCTCTTGACAGACACACACAGAAAAAGAAATAGTATCTAACACAGCAAACCCTCTCCTAGGGAGCAGCGTCAGAGAGGTAGGTAGTCACTGAGAGGGCACTTCAAGGCTGAGATTGTTAACTCCAGGAGGGAAGAGGCTTAGTCTTTGTATTGCACTTAGCATAATGTCATGCATAAGTCCTGACTTAGGACGCTAATGGTGGAGATTTAACACTTTCATATTTATCAAGGCTTAAAAATGGCTCTATTAAGGGGTGATAGTATAGAGATGTAACTTAATCAAAGTAAGATAAAGCCAATATTAGTGCATATGCCCCCTAAAAACTATAGAGTTTATAAACATTTCCATCCTACATTATAAAATTGACCCAAAATTCTATTCCGCTAACATTTACCTTAAATCAAGATTTTAGCTTTAGTTGTCTTAGATAAGGTTTTATGCCTCTACTAAGGTCATTCTACACTGCTTTTGTGAAATTGCAACTTGTTAAAAATGCTTATAAAATCAATGGCATTTATAAAAGGTAACAAATTACCAATAAAAAAAACTTTAGATGAGGAAGATTATTTACTAGTATTTGAAAAAATTAAGAAATAATACATAAAAATATAACATCTACTTTAAAAAGATTTTTTCCAATTTCTTAAATGATATTTTAATAATAATTTATAGATATTGAAACAAAATATTTCAAGAACATTGGCAAAGTACTCACTAAAAAGTAGATTTTGCTTCTGACCAGCCAAACAGAGAATGTGTATCATAATGATCTCCCAGAAAAGTCTTGGAATCAGGGCATAATGTTTTCTCAGCCAAATTTCCATCAGTGATATCTAAGGATGAAATAAAAATAAATATGCATGACATAATTTAAATATCTTTATCATATTTTATTTTTCTGTTTACATGTTGGCCACCCTCACTAGTCTATGAGCTTCTTGAGGACGTGGAATGTTTTATAATTAGTGAGAACAGTGTTACGCTGACATGACAAAAAAATTTTTTAATTGTATTTTGAATTTGTGAGGTATAGTAAGCTATTTGTATCAGGACCAAATTGGGGTTGTCTTAGAAATATAAAGTTAATTTAAGATTCAAAAATCAATCAATATAATTCACATATTAAAAAAGAAGAAGCATATAGTGATCTCAATAGAAGTACAAAAAGTGATAAACTTCCTTAACTTCACTAAGGTTATCTATAAAAATATCGATGGCCAATTTCATATGTAATTGTGAAATAGTAAAAGCATTTCACTGAGACTGGGGACAAGAAGTGTGCCTGCTGTTACCATTTCTGTTCAGTCCTGTACCAGAGTTCTCATCCAGTGCAATAAGACAAGAAAAGGAAATGAAAGGCGAAAGAATTAGAATGGGAGAACCAATGCTATGACTATTCACGTGTGATATGTTTATCTACATACAAAATCCTAAAGAATAAATAGATAAATTATGAGAATTAATATGACAGTATAGCAAGATTGCTGGATACAAAATCAATATACAAAACTCAAGCAATTGCATTCTATAAATCAACAACAAACATTTAGAAAGTGAAATGATTAAAAAGATGGCATTTAAATATATTAAAAAACAAGATTAGCCAAATATGTGTAAAACATTATAGACTTCATAAAATTTTATTAAAAGTAAAGGCACAAATAAATGGAAAGATATGCTGTATCCATTAAAAACTCTGTAGTATTAAGATGTCAATTATTTTCCAAACTGATCTATAGATTTAATGCCAACAATAGCCAATACACTCTTAAAGAAGGTCAAAGAGGGAAGATATACTTCACCAATTTCAAGGCTTATTACAAATCAATAGAAATTAAGACAGTGTCAAACTGATACAATGAAAGAAAAAATAAACTAGTGGAACAGAAAAAGCAATCTAGAAGCAACATATAATATATATGAATATTTATCATAAGAAAAATTAAGTATTGCAGCTTTCATTGGTTATGGGACAATTCTTTGTCATCATAGAAAAAAAAAAATGAAGTTAGATTGTTACCTCACACTGCCCCAAAATCAACTCCCAGTAGATTAAAGACTTAAATGTGGAAAAGCAAAGCTATAAAATATTTTTAAAACAATATGTATTTATCACCTCAGGTTAGGGAAATATTTCTTAAGTTACAATTTGATAAAGAATAGGACTGATAAATTTGACAATATTTAAATTAGGAACTTTTATGTTCAACAAAAGATGTTAAAAAGATAATAAAAAGATAAGTCACAAATCGGAATCCACTCAACAGCAACAGGTTTTTTGGTATAACTTAATAACTGAAAAATCAGTAAGAAAAAGCAAACATCCCAAGAGAAAAATGGGAAAAACTCTTGAACAGGTCAATGAAACCTGAAAGCCCAATGAAGATAACAAAATCTTTAATCTCACTCATAATCAAATTATGAATAACTGCGAAGAATGGGAATTCCATAACATTTAATTGTGCTCATGAGGAACCTGTACAGATCAAGAGGCAGTTGTTCTAACAGAACAAAGGGATATGGCATGGTTCAAAGTCAGGAAAGGTGTGCATCAGGGTTATATTGTTTCACCATACTTGTTCAATCTGTATGCTGAGCAATAATCCGAGAAGCTGGACTATATGAAGATGAATGGGGCATCAGGGTTGGAGGAAGACTCATTAACAATCCGCGTTATGCAGATGACACAACCTTGCTTGCTAAAAATGAAGAGGACTTGAAGCACTTACTGATGAAGATCAAAGACCACACTTCAGTATGGATTATACCTCAACATAAAGAAAACAAAAATCCTCACAACTGGACCAATAAGCAACATCATGATAAACGGAGAAAAGATTAAAGTTGTCAAGG